GGAAACAGCTAGCTTGACTCTGTTCAAAATCCAACTACTAGCAGTTGCATGGCAACCACACAGTAAATGAGATATAACGTATTAAATAGTGAGCTTTAGAAGTGCTTGTAGGAAGATTTGGTTACTGTTGGACCGAGCTGTTTCCCCTGTTTGTGCTAAGCTAAGCTAACAAGTTGCTGACTTAGTGGTCAGACAGGAGAGTGGTGTCAATCTCCTTATTGAAGTCTGGACAAGAAAGCAAAATAAGCATATTCCCCAAAATGTTTAATTACTTTCAATATATTATATACAATATATTAACAGAGACATTTACATTCATACTGTGCACACAAACACATCTACAAAGACATTTACATATACATGTGGGAAGCTAATGGCTTGTACAAAGAAAAAAACACAATAAGCTACATAGACAAATGACATTTCACCAGCAAGGACAAACGCCACAACAGTATGTGATTAAAGGCGATATGAGGGAAGTTTGAAGATGGATGGTCAGGGACAGATGAAATGGAGGCCGAGAAGGAGTCTGTGTCTGTGTCTCAAGAGTTGTGTCACCCTAACATATTATGTGCTCTAAACTTAACCTGGAGAAACCCCCTCTATGTCTTTAAAATATTTTCATTATTGGCTCAGACTGCTTGTTAGAGTTAAAGTAAATGAGTAAATTAGTTAAAACAATTTCTGAAAAGTCTCGTAAAAAGTGAATGCTCAAATGTAATTTTGCAAATAAATGTACAACTCTGTAGTTTCTAGATGCTAAAGACGGTTAAAGAATTAAGATAAATTAATTTAGAGACTATTACTACCTTGATCTGACCTCACCTTAACTGGAACAGAAGAAAACATTCAACCTGAAATACATTTCTCTCCTCAAGAAGTCCTTGTGAATCAGTTTCAGGTAATTTCTCTTTATCTGTGCAGACTTCTGGATCTCACAAGTAGTGTGTATAAACACACATACCTGTGGGAGCGTACACATGGGTGACCTACACTAGAGTTTGGGGGACTTCTGTAGAGCGGAGCCTGCTTCTTCCACACAAACACAAACCTGCATGCACAAACACACACTCAGACAGCGTGATACCCCTCTCTCTCCTCCTGGCTCTATCTGGGCCACAGATCCCCAGAGTCCAGCTCTATTATAAAGCTCAAGATCAGAAACAGCAGAGGGCTGCTTATTTTAGGAAAAGGGTTGCTCCTCTCCTCCTTGACATGCACACACACGCACAGTGTAGGGCATTCAGACACTTTTATGTCTTTACAACGCATGATAACGTGTAGACATTACACCGTGTGTAGGACAGTGTGTTACAGAGGGTTTGATGAGTGGCTGTGAATGCACTCACACTAAAAACAGATCCTCACCAATGTCTCTTTTTCTCTCGTCAGATTGAAATGTCCCTATGATGTCTCAGTAGAGCTGGCGTCATATTGTTTACAAAGTAAGTAGACTTCACATCCTCACTTGTATTCTTTTATACGTAGATAGTTTTCACATTACTACCAGAGCATGTTGTTGTTTTCCAAAGCAAATTGTAGCCTTTTAGATTGATTTTTGATGTATCAGGAAGTCATTCATTTCAGTGTGCAGCTTTGAAAGCTGAAACACTTAGTCCTCTTATATATTTTATTATTTCTTTAATAATTTATCATTGGGTGGTAAAGCAGTTGTGGGAAGGGAACTCTATGTCAGTGGTCATCATAAAATCAAATCTTACATTAAAAATGTCGCCCTTTTACAGCTTTACCTCAAATCTAAAACGTCAAAGCTTCCTTCAATGCACCAACAAGGAGAACAGTTAAAGTTTTAAGCAGTTAAAAAGTCAATAGAAGTTTTTAGTCTGCAATTAGATGTTCATCATGTTCACAATTTGCAGCTTTAAAGACAGGCACTGTGGTAGTGACAATTACAGGATAATGATAAAACAGTAAAGTAGGGAAGAGTCATAATGTCACATTGACTCTGTAATGTCTAATTATACAGCTGTATCTATCTATAGTTCATTAACAGCCACAATAAACTCTTGGTTATACCAAACCAAGTGAGGCTGAAGCAGAAGAACCTCTGAGTGTGTTGGATTCAGAAGATTTATTACTTATTACATTAACTTTTTGACTGTAAGAGGAAGAGTGTGTTATTTTATGTTTATAATATGAAATAGTGTCACTTTAAAGACCTGAACTACCAATACTACAAGTTTTAGACTGTACTGAGTCAGCAACATGTTTGCAGCTTCTCTATCTGCTGATGTCCTACATCTGAATTTCTAATTTTCTTGGTCCACTTCCAGGTGAGCTGGGAGACTGTGATCCCTTGGAGCACTCTCCTGAGCTGGTGTCTGAGTTTCGTTTCAGTCCCAAACAGAGTGAGGCCATGGAGGCGGACATCTTCGGCAGGTGGTTGGAGCTCAGGTGAGTTTAAAGGTTTATACGAAACATTTAAACCTGTAGGAAATCACAAAAACCCACACATGTATCTGCATTAGCCAAAATAGTGAAAGCAACTTACTGGAGGGCGTCCAGCGACCCGTAATCTGACCTTAGCAGGTTTATCTCCCAATTGGAAGAAACAACTGGGGCAAAAAAGCAGAGCATTGAGCAGGAAGTCCTTCAATTGCTGCCTTTCAGCTCCAGCATTTCCACTGACAGGGGCGTCTACATTTCACTCTCCCTCCTTTCTCTCCTTCTCTGCCTTGGCCTCAGTCTCACTGGCCTGTATGAGGGATTATGGGATTAATCCCTGGAGGGTCTTGATTGATTCCGAGCAGTATTTAACCCAGCCGCGGTCTGATTGCTCCCATCTCGGATTAGATTACATACACATATGCTGCGCTTCACCGAAGCGACTGAGCCACACAAGGATGAACCCACACTGAGTTCACAGTCTTTCTTACACACCAAAGCTGAGTCAGGGACGCAGCAGGAAGGTTACTCACCAAGTATTTCCCTTAGAGCTAACACCAATTACCAGCAGAGTTCATGAAGTGTTGTTATTGATATTTCTTTTTCAGATTAAGTTTCCACACAGAACCGATATTTGTGTTGTGAAAACTTCTTTTAAATCCTCAGGGGAAAGAGTCCGTCTCAAGCAGAGATTTCTTTTCTCAACAAATGCAAGTGGCTGGAACTTTACGGAGTAGATATGCACTTTGTCAAGGTGTGTGAGTGTATATTATTATCATTATATTAAGTGTCACTACGTTACAGGTGTGTTTTGAGGACTAAATGTGTGTGTGTGTTGTGTCTTCAGGGCAAAGATGGAGGAGAATACGCACTAGGTCTCACTCCTACTGGCATCTTAGTGTTTGAAGGCTCCAACAAAATCGGCCTCTTTTTTTGGTAAGGACATTGAATCCATCTCTAATGTAGTGGTCAATTTCCTTTTATTTGAGAAGGGGGCGGGGGGCACATTTTAGTATTGTTTCACCACATTAAAACATTTTTCTAATATGTTTAAAACACATCACATTTAGCATAGAAATGAGCAGTAAACATCAGAATCTCCCTTTTAAAACAACTGAAAATCTGCAGTTATGTTGCAGCTAATGGCATGACAGCTTGACACTGGTGTTTAGTTGTCATAGTAATGAAAAATCCTTTGTGGCTTCTGACTAAACAGCAGTAAAAAAAAATCGAAATGAATAAGTTCAATAATTATCTGTAAGTCCCACAGAGCAACATAGCCCCCAACTGCGGACTGAGAAAATAAAGGCTATATTAATTCACTCATCATATATGTTCATATATGATAGAAAAACACTTCAGATGGGTGCCATGGTTTCAAAATGTTTGTGAACCACTGCTCTAATCATCTCAACCTCTTTAGATAACACTGAATCCTGAGTTATTATTGTAGAGTGTCATTGGTTTGTGTTTCCTTTTATGTATTACTCAGGCCCAAAATCACTCGTCTGGACTTCAAAAAGAGTCGACTCACGTTGGTCGTGGTGGAGGACGATGATCAGGTTTATATCCTGTCACAAACACATCCCTCCATACAAACGAGCACACACACACACACACACACACACACACACACACCACACACACACACACACACATGAACACACAAGCGTCTCTAACAGGTGGCTGTTTTCTGACCGTGCATGGGGTCGGGAGCAGGAGCACACGTTTGTGTTCCAGCTGGCCAGTTCCCAAGACCTGTAAGTACACCTGTTGGGAAGTTGTGCCGTGGAAGAGCCACGCCTTCTTCCGGCTACGCCAACCGACCACGGGCAAGGCCAGCCGCAGCGACTTCACACGACTCGGGTCCCGCTTCAGATTCAGGTAGACCGCAGCAGAGAGACGGACTGTAAAGGAGAAGGATGATACAAGTTGGCTCACTCACATAGTTGTGGCCAGCCCTTTTACTAGCATATGGGGAATAGTGTGTCACATAAAACAGAGCCTTTGTATCTATGGTTACAGTGTATCTATGGTTACGTGGATCTGTTCCTATGGCGACTGAGATATCCCCTTCATATTGTTTGTTTTCTTCTGACTATTATCAGAGATGGTCAAAGCAAGTTCTCACACTTGAAGGGCACTTCCTGTCATTTGTCAGAGCAGCTGAACAAAGCAGCATGAAGTCTGTTTTACATTGAAGTCAGTGGATTAAAAACTCAAGTTACAGG